AATATTTAAGCATGAATTTATAGTACAACCCAAAGCTGTGGCTTCCAAATTTGGAAGAGTTCACAAATCCAAGGAAAAGGAACAACGTAAGGACAGTTGCATCTAGAGCTGATATAGACTTTTTAAGTGGATAGTGACTGAATAGTTATCATAAATACATATTACATAAACACATGGTATTTACATATAGCACATGACTCCCCTCACTCTGTGCTGTAATCTACCCCAGGTTCTAGAAACTGTGGTCAGAATCTCTCCAAAACCACAGGTCATAAGCCCCTATCAATGAGTTTTACCTTTTATTCGTCAGTCAAATGACATATCAACATCATAACAAGAACATTTTAATTAAGTGGCAATACATGTAGGTAAAGTAACCACAGAATATTTCCCACAGGAAAAACATAAAAATGGCTAGAAGAAATGAGGAAAAAAAAAAGAAATGAAGCAAGATGTTTTCTGTCCATTTACCTGGATGTGGGATCTTTGGAGAGCTTACTTTCTCCTTAATGCTAGATACCGTGGACAGGAGTTCTGAGACTGTAAGACTCATGTCTACCAAGGGAGTGATAAAGTAAATCAAAAATGAAGTACTGTTTTTAGAGTAGAAGGAAGGAAATTCTTTGTCATGGTGGACCTGCCAGACCACAGACAAGTAGCTCTGTACAAAATTCTTGATGAAATCCTGTTCAATGAGGAATTGGTTGTGGCCCTGGACACAATGCTTAATGACATCTTTATAGGCACCACCCTAAAGCTGATAGCATTCGCAGAGCTGATTTGTCTCCAGTAATAGCAGCTCATCACCTTCCTGGGACTGATGGGAATCAAACTGAAGAGGATTTACTTACTGATGCAATCCACTTTATTATCATTGCAATGTTAGGGTCCGCTCCCCACTTTCCAGACTTTTTCTACTATGCCCCTGTGTGGGTACCCCCTCTTTTCCCTTCCTTCAGGTTCCTTTTGTTTTTTCTTCCGCCATTAGAATATAAGTTTCTTGAGGAGAGAGCCTCTGCTTGTGTTTGTATTCCTAGTGCTCAGCACAATGCTTGGTATATAGTTAAATTCTTAATAAATGCTTATTGACTTGACTTGGTGTGTTGACTATTAAGATGGTGTATTGAACAGGAACAAAACAGCCAATTCCCACACACGTATTTTAGAAAAGATTAAAACAAAAGTGTCAGACTGAATAACAAATAATAAAGAGAGAAACCACAGTACTTTCATCTAGTCTATGTTGGCAAACCCAGAAGCCTACAAGCACTAAGGAGGAACTGGAATAAAGCAAATGTGTGTTGGAGGTCTTCCAGTTCTGAAAGCCTCAAAATCTTCAAGGCAAGGCAATCAAGCATGCCCCAGATTCAGGAATTGAAATATCAGTATGCTCTAGTGAGATCTCTGGGCAATTAAGCACCCTAAGAACTCTGGGTCCAAACATGAGAATAAGAGCCACAAAGTGACAAAGATCCTACCAGAAGGCAGAGTTTAGTCTGTGCACTGTATGGACTCTGTATGTTTACAGTAAGCTGACATGAGTCATTCTTGATGGCCTTGAAGAACACAGCATTCTGTACCCAGAGGAGACAAGATATGCTTGGGAGCTGATGGCATTTTGTGTTTGTCACACACTGTGGGAAGGGAGGGCCAGAGGCAGGATCTCCAATAATACAGATCAGGGGCCCAATCCTCTGATTCAAGCATTCATGAGCCATAGGAGCATAGCTCTGATGAAAAATATCAATTCAGGAAGCAAAGCTAGAAACTTGAATAATCAAAAGACACAAGCTAGAGGAAGAGATACTCCATAATAACCACTATTTGAACCTCAGGTAAAGGTGTGGCTTGGTCACAAGGTCTGTTAGATTTTCTGGAAGAATAAGGTAAAAACAAGTATATTATAAATGAAACAAGAGCTCTAGAAGAATAAACAGTTTACTAATGGAGGTGCAAAATCTTCAGGAGACCAAATAATGGCTTCCTGAAAATCAGAATGGACCAAAGAAGAAATCAATGATGCTATGAAACAAAACAAAAACAAAAAAAAGAAAATAAAATCAAAAGACTGAAAAATAGAAGAATATATTATCTATAAAAAAATTGATCTGGAAAAATGGTCAAGGAAATATAAACAAAGAAACATCCTTCCATCTGAAAATTGCAATAAAAAAATGGATACCATACTTCAAGAAATCATTAATGAAAGTTAATATATAAAATTAGGAGCTTGTTTGAAAAAAATAAACCATTAGCTAATTTGAATTTTAAGAAACTAAATCAGTATCAAAAATGAAAAAGGTTAATTAACAACCAATGAAGAAATAAAATGAATTATTAGAAACTGTTTTACCAAATTATTTGCCAAAAAAAGTGATAGCCTAGTGAAATGGATATTTACAAAAATATAGTTAGGTATCAATTAGTATAATGAATCCTGTGTAATGGCTGAATTATTATAATTTGCCCCATTTGAAATTATAATTATATATAAAATATAGTAACTGGTTCAAGATCAATGGAGACATACAATGAAAACTTTCAAAATGATTTTTATCTGTTTATTAATGCAATATGATAGTAAAGGATAAGAAAAATATTTCTGATTCATTTATTACAATGGTATGGAGTAAAGAGGGCAAAATTAAACAGTAAAAATATTAAATATTGTACCTAAAGGCAAGCCTACACTTGTGATGAAAATGTTATGATTATCATTTATTTTAGCAGTGTAGACTGAACTGTCATCTCCTTCTATAAATCTTCATGCATATGTTGTTGATAGGTACAAAGAGCTTTAACCACATGTTGAACTTGCACGCTCACATTTTTATACAATGTAGTTGGATGACCCAGGGCATTATCTAAAATCAGTATACTCCATCTCCTGCTCGGGCATTTTCACTGACTGTCCCTCACACATGGAATGTTCTACCTCTTTATGTCTTGTCTCCAATCCCTGTCTTCCTTCAAATCCCAGTTAAAATTCCCTCAGAAAGTGGAAGCCTTTCCTACTCCCTCTTAATTTTAGTGCCCCCCCCATAAATTATTTCTAATTTACACTGTATATAGCTTGTTTGTACATAGTCGTTTGCATGTTTTCTTTCCCGCTCAATTGTGTGCTCCCCAAAGGCAGCAACTATCTTTTGCCTTTCTTTGTCTCTCCAGCAATGTAGTACAGTGTCTGGCACTTAATAGGCAATTAACAAATGTTTACTGACTGACTGACTGACTTTCTTTTTCTTTTTAAATAGTATTTTTCCCCCAGTTACATGTAAAGGCAATTTTTTACATTCATTTAAAAAAAAATTTGAGTTCCAAATTTTCTCCCTCCCTCAGACAAGAAGCAATTTGATACAGGTTACATATATGCAATCATGTAAAACACATGTCCATATTTGGTTGAATGACTTGATACTATTGTCCTTGAAATATTTTTCAGCAACTGGACTAAAATAACTTGAAAACCAGTTTTTGAAAACAGTTTTAGTCATCAATAATTTTTTTGAAAATCAAAGAATTGCAAGTGATTGATAGTTGTATCCTCTCCTAGCTTGAGAATTTTGAGATTGACAAACAAGTTTTGGTTTTAATTTAAAAACTGCTTCTGTATTACCTCCCAATAAAATTGTTGTGCAATCTGTAGACACTTGACATCTAGATTGAGTGTTTTCCTTCTTAGATCTTTACATTCTAGAAGTCATCTTCTTCCAGAATGTCTGTTTCATTGACACTAAAAATGTTAGTCTCCACCTTGATTATTTTTTTCAAAACTTCAGGATATTGTGCTCATCTGTCCTGGCCACAGCTCCAGTAATTTTAACATTATGCAAGTAAACTCAATTTTTAAAGAAATCATACTTGCAGTAAAAATTTCATTATTTATTTCATTTCTACTTTATTTCACTGCCTTAAACTTAAAGCTTTTGTTTAATTGACTGTTTCACTAAGAGGAATATACCTTTGATTGTAATCTTCATTTCATACAGCTAAAATACACTCCATTTTCATCACTATCACTTCTATGCTTTGTGGCTGATTGCAAACCCCATGGAACTGATCCAACTTTGCCTTTTTCTTTTGAGTGTTTTATAATATTCCATATCATAGATTCAAGATTCCGTCATTTATTTTAGAGGTTCCATGGCCCCATTTGTATCAATTACATCAAATTTTTTATCCTAATGTAACAATCATCTTCTTTTTTGAGTTGGCAGTATTTCACACTTACTAGCTGTGACCCTGGGCAAGTCATGCCCTGTTTGTCTGTTTCTTCATTTATAAAACGGGGATAATAATAGCACCTTGCTCCCAGGGTTGTTGTGAGGATCAAATGAGATATTTGTAAAGCACTTAGCAGTGCCTGGAATATAGTAGGCACTATATAGATGTTAGCTATTATTGTTAGTAATGGCACAAATATATATTCAACATTTTGTTTTAGTGAAGAACTAGAAACTGATGTCATATGGGGAATGGCTAAATAAATTACAGCAGAGGAGTGTGATGGAATATTTTTACAAGGTTAAGGAATGACAAAAGGGACTGATACAGAAAAACCTCAGAGGACTTGTAGAATCTAATACAAACAGAAGTGAGCAAAACCAGAGGAAAAATTATACAATATTGTATAAGGAAAGGGAAATAACTCTGATACTTTAACGTACCAGTCATGACTCTAGAAGACTGAAGAGGCATCTTATGTTTCCCACCTCTTGGCAGACAGGTGATGGACTAGAAGTGTAGAATGAAACAAATTTTCATACACAGTCAGTGTGTGGATTTATCTCGTTTAGCCATACTGATTTGAAACAAATGGGGGAGGGGGGATATTGGAGGTTGGGGATCTAGGGTTTTAGCAGGTGACATGGGTAATGAGAGTGGTTATCACCCAAAAAGAAAAGTCTCTTCATATGAAGAGATGTTCATGTTTGTGGATGACAGTCAAGTTAATAGAAACTTTTTTAAAATGTACAAAGTCATTTCAAGCTCAGAAAGAATTACCAGGAATCAAATTTTATTTTTGCAGACTTTACAAATCAAAAGGAATCTATGAGAATCTTTCCCTCTTCCCACTTAGCTACAACTTTAAAACACTGAAGTATTTCAAGAAATTCTTTGTAAAATAAGGAGCTGTATATCATTTTCTCTTGAACATTTTTGCAGTTTTTATACTCTTAAAAGTGATTTGCAGACAAAAATTACAATTCCAGTTAACTTTGTTCTCATCAGTTTCAAGGGCTCATTTTGAACCTTCAAGAAGAAAAGATATCTGCTAAAGCTGATTAACATAAGTTGAAATTCAAATTCAAAAATTTTCTGAATGTGTCTTACAGGTATGGATCTAACTTAGTAACTACTATTGACCCCATTTACTGGAATAAAGTGAGTAATGAAGTAACAAGGTAAACAAAAACTTTATTGAAAAACTGATTTTACTTTTCACGCAATCAGGTTGGTGAAATAAAACAAAAGAATGAGAGCCATAAGTTAGGAGAAATGTTGTAATTCAAGAATTTCTAGCTTCTTTAAGTTGCTAAGGGATCTCAGGAAACAAAAAACTAAACTTAAATATAGCTGGAATGTTTAAAGAAGTCCTAAAAGAAGCTTATTGAGTTAAAAAGATATCAGTTATCCTTAAGTCATCAGTATTTTTGTCTATAGTTTATCACATGCAGTAGACTGATAAAAGAAATATGATTCAACACACTTACATTTTTTATTTAGCCAGACAAGACAGGTTTCTTAAAAAACAACAGATAACATTTCTATTGGGTTCATCTTCCACATACAGAGTTCTTCAAAACAGAAACAAATGCTTTTGATCAGGTAACATGTGCAAAGGCAAACAAATGAAGTAGTCAAAGTGTAATAAAAAGGATAATTTCAATGTTTTTTAGAAAAATTTATTCCCCTAGATATTCAAGATGTTATTAAAAGACCTCTAAATCAAGAGAATGATCAATCTCGAAGGTTTCTTCTGCATCTAACTTTCTTTCTCCATTTCCTTCCTGGGAATCATCCAGAGAAGCCAATGCCTCATTTGTGTCACTTGCAAAAGTTTCTCGAGATGCATCATCATATTCTTGAAGATTAAGACCTTTAATAGCCTGCTTCATCTTTTTCCCCAAGACTTGTATTCTCCTTTTCTTAGCAGCCTTTTTATTTTCATATTCCTTTTGGTTTTCAATATAGAAAATTTCCTTTAAAAAAGACACATGAACTTTGTTAAAATATATTATTTTTCTGGTAGTAATAGATTTCTAAATAGAAAAATAAAGGGGGAAGCACCATTGATTTAAAATTTAAAGACAAGTAAACTCTTTTTAACATTACCAATCAACAAAGATGAAAGTCTAGAGGTAATCTATAGGTTTGGTTATTTAGAAATTCCAATATATGTAACAGTCACACAGCACTGCCATTCTGAGACATCTTTTCAATTATACCTTGAAATGAAACTTGTGGCAATGATCAAATACACTTATTATAGGGAAAAATTTCATTGCTGTGAAAAATTACAATAATATACTTGTATAAATAAGGGAGATACATATGCTTCATTGAGAAAATTCATTGTTTAAAAAAAAAAACCAACAACAAAAAACCATTACCTGAAGTTATTACAAAAACATTAAAAACTAAGAATGAATTGAAGGTGGTGATAAATGCTAAAACTAGCAAGAAAACAACAACAAAAAGACCCATTAAAACTTTTTCAGCTGTGCTAGAGGTTAACAGTAAGATCAATGAAGTCAGGACAACTCTTATTTTGCCCATCACCTTTTCAAAGAACTATTTTTGGAACTGGGAAGATTATCTGGGAGTTGAAATTCATAGTAATGAGGAAGATAAAATAAAAGTCACCAGGCCCAGAACTATCCTGGAGTACTAAAAGAATTGGATTAGTGAGAGCCACTGTAAGTGATCCCTGAAAAAACATGAAGAATGGGAGACATATGGTAAGATTTGAGATGGCCAAAAACATGAGTTTTCAAACTGGTGAAGATGACTTAGACTTTAGCAAATTTTTAAAATGTATTATATTAAAGGGATGGTGTGAACATTTAAAAAGAGAAGAAGCAGATAATCACTGAGAGCCAAATGGTTTTATCAAGAACAAGCTATGCCAAACTTACCTACTTGCCTTTTTTGACAGGATTACTGGACAGGTAGATCAGGGAAGACACTTAGACTTAATATACCTAGATTTCAGCAAAGTATTTAACAAAGTCTCTCATGATATCCTTGTGGACAAGATGGAGACATCTAGGCAAGGTAATAAAATATTTTGGTGTATTTAGAACCAGGTGAATGATCAGACTTAAAGAGTAGTCATTAAAAATATAAACTTGGACTCAAGTTTTTAATGAAATGTCCCAGGGAGCCATCCTTTTAAACACTTTTGTCAATGACTTGAATGAAGGCATAGACAACATACTTATCAAATTTGGAAACGACATGAAGGTGAGGATAACTAACATGTGAGATGACATAAATTAAAGATCCAGAAAGATCTTACACTAAAATTACAGGCCAAATTTAAAAGCTAAAACTTAATAGGAATAAATGTGAAGTCCTATATGCGCCCTTTTAAAAAAGGGCAATGATGGCTGTGCATCTCTAAGTAAATCACCTAACCTCTCAGTGCCCCAGGCAACTTCTTAAGATTATAAAGTTGCAGAGCAGGTGCATTAGTAGGAGTTTCCCCCTTCAGAACTCCCTGCATCAATGTCCCAAAAAAACTTTAAGGAAATAAACAGTATAAAATGGGCTAGGTACAGCTAGACAACAGTTTACATGAAAAGATCAGGGGGTTTAGTGGACTTCACATTCCAAGTCAACAATGTGACATGACAGCTAAATAAACTAATGTGATCTGAGGTTCCATTAAGGAAGGCAGTTTTTTAAAATGAGGGAGGCAATAGTTCCATCATATCCTAGCCTGGTCAGACCACATCTGGAGTAGTATCTATAGTTCTGGGTACAACATTTTATGAAGAACATTAAGTATCCAGGAGAGTGGTAAGGATGGTGGGAGCCATGCTATGTAAAGACTGGCTATAGGAATTAGGGATGTTTAGTGCAGAAGAGATTAGGAGCTATGTGTAAAAAGATGCAAGGAGACAAATTTTGGTTCAATGTAAAGAAAAACTTCCAAACAGAGCTGTCCAAACTGTTAAGAGTTAGTAGGTTCAGTGAAGGTCTTTCAAACAAAGCCAACTATCATGGAGATTACTGTTCAGCCAAAGAAAGGCTGGATTAGGTGACCTTTGAGGTCTTTTCAATTTTGTGGTTTTGATAATGTGTCTCAAAACATAGAAGAGGGGCTGGGGTTGAAAAATTGGAAATACTGGGAGGTCAGCATGGATTTGAGAGGGATGAACTCTAATTTTCAAATATTCTCAATTCACTTCAAACACCCCAAAACCCACGTAAATTTTCAAGCTACCCACAACAACAAAACCACTCGGATTCAGGAACAAAGAGAAAGATAGGGATGGTGAAGAGTATCTGAAGCTTCTTGGAATTCAAGGCTTCTTTTAAATTGCTAATTCACCACAGCAAAGCTATACCTCATAGCCTGGTTCAAGCTCCAATTTCTGTAAACAGGGAGCACAAATTCTCCAATACCACAATCATTTAACAAATTTTCTTTACAACAATTTTGATATCTTACTTTGATTACAATAGGAAATACTTTACTAGTATCAAGTAAAAAATGACTAGTAGAAGTGGTTGGAAGAACTGAATTTTAAGAGAAATAATACCACCACCTTTTACACATATGGTACAGTTTCATTTGTTCCTTACAACAGAGAAGCAATATGATCCAGTGGATAAATACTTAGAGCAAGGATCTGAATTCAATATGATCATGGGCAAGTCTCAGGACTTTTATTTCCTCTAAAATGTGATAACCTGTTTTACAGAGGCTGTTATAGATGAGGATGTACATGAAGATCAAATCTTAAGGCATTCTATAGCTGTAAGCTATTACCATTATTATAATAACCATGTAACATATTATTTCCATTTTTCAGATGAGGTCTAAGTAACCTGGCCAAAATGACAGAGCTACAAAGTGGTAGAACTAGGATTAGAATCCAGGTCTTTTGGTTCCCAATGGAGGTTTTTTCTACTATACCACTCTGCCTGGTCTAAAAAAGCCCAGCTTTTTACCATAAATCATCCTTACAACAAATATTTGCCCAATATGCACACAGCAGGATGTCCACTTTGGAAGTATATGAAAAATGGATACAATCCCTTAACATCAAGGATCAAGTTGCAAAAATGAAACTAATACTGAAGAAAGAACAAGGAAACAATTCATTGCCAAAATACCAAGGTGTAAGGTATGGTCGGGGAACCTGTGGTCTTGAGGCCACCACACGTGGCACTGTAAGGTAATTCAGGAGAGTTCAGTGTAAGATAAAATACAGAAGAAGGCTTTAGCAGGGGCAGATGTGAGCTATACCTTAGAGGACTGCTAGGTTTTCCAGAGGCAGTGGAGAGGAAAACTGGAATAAAGACAGGAGACAGCAGGTCTGAGGGAACAGTGGGAATTAAATGTGGATAGGAAGGGTCAAGCATACAATGGACAGACTTGAAATCTACACAAAGAATTTTAATTTTTACCTTAATTTGTGCCTCAGTGATGCTTGGTGTGTTTTTCAGAAGATTCAGATAAACTCCACCTGGTGTTCTTCTTCTGCTACCATTCTACAAAAAAGAATATGAGAAGTATAATGTATTGTACTATATACTGTATTTTAAGGCATTTAGGTGATCCAGTGGATACTGCACTGGGTCTGAAGTCAGGAAAACCTGAGTTCAGATCTGATCTTAGACATTTCCTGGGTATGTGACCCTAGCCACTTAACCTGTTTTCTAACCTGAAAAATGGTAATAACAACATCACCTACCCCAAAGGGTTGTTGTGAGGATCAAATGAGATAATATTTGTTAAGTGCTTATCACGGTGCCTGTCACAGGTGCAATATGAATGCTTATTCCCTTCTTGTGTTGCTGACAGGATTCTATACAGTTTAGTACTTAATTACTCCCTAATTATTTCTTCACTGTTAATTTTGTTTCTCAATTTGAGAATAAGTTCCTGGAAATCAACCAGTCAACCAGTATTTATTAAGCAGCCACTATGTGCTAGGAACTGTGCAAAGAGCTTGGGGATACAAAGAAAGGTAAAAGGCTGCTGTCCTTGCTCACAACAAACAACTAGGTACAAACTAGACATGTACAGATAAATTTGGGGCAGTCACAGAGGAAAGACACTAAGATTAAAGCTGACTGGGAAAAGTTTCTTTCGGAAGATGGCACTTTAACGGAAACTTGAAGGAAGCCAGGGAAACTAGGAGGCTAGTATCCTCTGGTTCTCATTAAAATCTGACTCCCTCCTGATGAACCAGTCTCCCTGGCCACTCCTGGCACTGGTTGTACTCTCACTCACACCCCACTGTTTACTGACCTTCATTACACTCTCCTTCCTTCCTCAGTGAGTTCAGTGCCTGGCTCAGTCTTCCTCTCTTCCCCAACTCCTGCCCTGATACTAAAACGTTTCAATACATGTATTGTTACTTTATCAAACACACTCAGCTCCTTATTACTTAACATATCATTTCCAATGATCTACTCCTCCACTCCAACTCAGGAACACAAAAAGATGGGTTACACCATTGATTTCTGTCATCACTGACACATGTACCACTTTATGAAATTCCCTTATCTGATCACATTGTCTTGCCATTCCATCTCACTCTCTGCCTTGCAACTCTAAATCCTGCTCTTTGTATGCACAGCAACCTCCAATTCCTTAGCCTGTCTTTCCTAGACCACCTGTCTTACACTAACTATACTCTTTTCCCTTCATCTTCACCCGTGGATGAGTCAGGTCAATTCTACACTGTATTCTTCTCAAGTCCCTTGCCCCTTTATCAGAAGATCTTGTCCTGCCAAAGCCCAGTCTCGGATTTCTCTCACCTTCCACTGCTTTTGTTCCTATTATGCTGATGAATGAAGCTGGAGGAAATCAAAAACCATGCTGACTGGGTCCAATATAACTTTATGATACATAATCGCAACTGGGCTATCACTGGAGCAAAGTAGTCCTTTGATATGCCTACACTAGCCACACTCTTTTCCCCATTTTGACCCCTTGGTCAACCTGTTCAACTCTGTACTGTCCTCTTGAGTCCCATGTGTCTTGAGCTCCTTGAGTCTCCATCCTCAAAAAATCCTCATTTAATCCTTATATCCCACAGTATTACCCTATTTCTCTTCTGCCCTTTGTGGCTAAACTTCTTGAAAAGGTTCTCTACAATAGCTGCCTCCAGTTTCTCTTTTCTTCTCTCTCACTCTCCTCTTACTCCCTTATATAATCCAGTTTTTGAGTTCATCATTCCACTAAAAAATCTCTAAAGTTACCAGAGATCTCTTAATTGCCAAATCCAATGGCCTTTTCTCAGTCTTCATTCTTCTTGACCTCTCAGTAGCCTCTGACACTGCTGATTACCTTGTTTTCTTTGATACTTTCATTCTAGGTTTTTGGAACACTACTCTCTCCTGGTTTGCCTCCTATCTGTATGACAGTCCTCTTCTTCTTCAGTCTGCCTTGTTAGATCATCATCATGTCAGGTCCACTAATCAGGGGAGTCTCTCAAGGCCCCTTCCTGGGGTGTCTTTTCTATTGCCTCTATACAATTTCACCTGGTGATCTCTTCAGCTCCCATGGAGTTCTTTCTAACTTCCCTGTTAGTCTTCCAAGTCTGCTTGGTCATTGTTTGGGCCCTGATTGACTCAGTGAATGTAGACAGGAATTGTTTCTGTTTTGGCCAAAAACTCCCAGGGTCTTCCCTTCCCAGTTTGAGGGTGTTTTGGGGCCATTGTTTGCCTCTTTTATTAAGCTTTAATCACTGAATGGGCACTACCACAGTCAAACCCAGACATCTTAAAGACCTTAGCTTGAAAAGGCCAAGGTCTCCCACCGCATCCTGGGCCATCTTCAGTCCTGATGTGTATCTGAGCCACTGAACCCAGATGGCTCTGGAGGAGAAAGTAAAGCTTGTGATTTTGCACAGCCCTTCCTCACTTAAATCCAATTCACTCGCACGTCATGACATCACCTCTAGGATGTCTGGGTCCTCTTCAAGAACAAAGGACAAACAACCACTTCGCTATTACTGCTGAAGGTACCACCAGCCTCCCAGTCAACTAGGTGGACAATCTAGGTGTCATCCTTGATTCCTCTCACTCTCTATATCCAGTATGTTGCCAAGGCCTGCTGATTTTAGCTTTGTAATGTCTCTCAAATATACTCTCTTTTCAGAGGTGGCCACTACCCTAATCCAGGCTCTCATCACCTCATGGCTGAACTATTGTAATAGCCTGCTGATTGGTTTCCATGCCATAAATCTTTCCTCCCTAAAGCCTATCCTCTACTCAGTGGCCAAAGTGATCTTCCTAAGTATCACTGCACCCCTCTTCCCCAACCATTCAATAAACTCCAGTGGTTCCCCATTACCTCTAAGATCAAATATAAAATGCTGTTTGGCATTCAAAACCCTTTATGACCTGCCCCTACCCCTACCCCTTTACCTTTCCAGTCTTCTAATACCTCATTCTCCACCACTTATTCTTCAATCCAGTGATAGTGGCCTTCTTACACAAAACGCTCTTCTAACTCCAAACATTTTTACTGGCTAGAATTTTCTCATCATTTCCTCCCCTTTGTTTCCCTGGTTTCCTTCAAGTCTTAACTAAAATCCCACCTTACAGAAAAAAAAAAACCCTTTAATTCCCCTCAATTCCAATGCCTTCCCTTTATCAATTATCTCCAATTTATCTTCTATATGGCTTGTTTGTATAATTGTTTTCATGTTTTCCTTGAGAGCAGGGATTGTCTTTCAACTTTCTTTGTATCCCAAGTACTTAGTACAGTGCTGGGCATTTAGTAAGCACTTAATACATTTTTTCTTTTTCTAGAATTAATTTATTTTTAATTTTCAGCAATCACTTCCATAAGCTTTTGAGTTTTAAATTTTCTCCCCCTCCTTCCCCAAGAAGGCATGCAATCTGATATAGACTCTACTGCATTCCTATTAAACATGTTTTCACATTAGTCATGTTGCAAAGAAGAATTTGAACCAGTAAGAGGAACCACAAGAAAGAAGAAACAAAACAGAACAAGAAAAAAAGGAGCAAATAGTATGCTTTGATCTGCATTCAAACTCCATAGTTCTTTCTCTGGATGTGGATAGCATTTTCCATCATGAGACTTTTGGAGATGTCTTAGATCCTTGCATTGCTGAGTAGAGCTAAGTCTATCAAAGTCAGTTATCCTACAATGTGGCTGTTACTGTGTACAAGTTCTCCTGGTTCTGCTCAGCATCAGTTCATACAAGTCTTTCCAAGTTTTTCTGAATTCTACTTCCTCATCACTTCTAGCACAGTAGTATTCCATTACATTCACATACTATAACTTGTTCACAGCCATTCCCCAATTGATGAGCATCCCCTCAATTTCCAATTCTTTGCCACCACAGAAAGAACTGCTATAAATATTTTTGTACATATGGGTCCTCTTCCCATTTTTATGATCTCTTTGGGATACAGCCCTGGAAGTGCTATTGCTGGGTCAAAGGGTATGCACATTTTTATAGCCCTTTGGGCATAGTTCCAAATTGTTCTCCAAAACGGTTGGATCTATTCTCAATTTCATCAAAAAATGCATTAGTGTTCCAATTTTCCCACATCCATTCCAACCACTTAATTTTTACTGACTGACCAACTGAATGAAACAGCATAAACCAAGGGCACACAAATCCAGCCCAGATATTTCCTCTACAAGTGTGCAGAACTCAGTCTTTGGGAAGTAGGCTGGAAGAATGAGCAAACAAAAAAAGAATCCTACCATAAAGAGCAATAATGGTGACAGTGGTGCTTAAGACATCAACCCAAAAGAAGAAAATGACTCCAAATCATCTACAATCAAAACCTCAAAGAAAAACGTGTCATGAGTAAAAGTTAAATTAAAATTCCTAGAACAGATGAAGTAGAAATTTGAAAAATTTTAAAAATGATTTTTATAAATCAAATGGATACACTAAAAGAAAACATTATTAACGAAATGAAAGCAGGAGTCAAGATAGAGTAGTATGAAGGATAGCCTAGCTCTTGCAGCATACTTCCTCCACAAAGACCTAGAAAAACCCCAAACTAAGTACTGATCCAGAAATCCAAGAAAAAAAATCACAATGAGTCATTTTTTCAGCCCAGATTGGCTTAGGGAGATAGAAGACTTAATGAAACTAGGGACAGAGTGTGGCCAGAGGTGGAATATTCTTGAAACAGAGACTGAAAGAAGAGGTTATAAAGCTCAGGGCATCAAAACCTCATGAAGGTGTGGGAACAAGTGCTGACTGATAGTCTTTTCATTTAATATCCAGTTCTGGGTCACCGACCCAGGGCAGACTGAGGAGGGCATCTGTGCCCAAAATTGATGTTCTAGTGTAAGGAGTAATTTCGGGTACTGAGCAATGTACTGAGTGAGGAACAAGTTCAGAAACAGGCAGTTACTATGTAGCTTTGACACCAGGAACAGAGTAAAATTATCAGTTCTAGCCTTCAGCCCAGTTTGAAGCCTGCAGTGGAATAATCAAGGCAGGAATCCAAGATCAAAAGAGAACTTAGAGTTCTATTACTCTGAACAGAGCTTCCCAGCTGAGTCCAGCAACTGTCTACCAGAACTTTTCCAAACAGAGACTGCTCAATGGAGTGTTGCTCAGACTCAAAGAAAGGTCAGGCTCACAGACCAAAAGGGCAGTGATCCAACTTAGTCTGGCTTGCGAAAGTTTTCAGGTTCTCAGCCCGACCTGTCCTTAAAATCCTAGAATAACAGAACATTCAATATCCCAAGAAAGCTTTTTTTTTTTTGGTCCAAGAGGACAAAAGTAAGTATCCATATTCCCACTAGAAGCATGCAGAGCCCAGCTACAACATAAAGTCCAAAGTAAAGAAGGAGGCTAGCAGAATAAACAAAGGAAAAAAAAAAATACCACCACAGCCAGGTCAGGAAAATCTGAGTTCAAACATGGCTTCAGTCATTTACCAGCTATGTGACCCTTGGCAAACCACTTAACCTGCCTGTCTCAGTTTCCTCAACTGTAAAATGGGGATAACAACAGCATCTATCTCACAGGGTGGCTGTGAAGATCAAATGAGATATTTGTAATAGCACTTGGCACAGAGTAGGCACTTAATAAAAGTTTGTTTCCTTCTTTCATAAATCGATATTATAGTGATAGGCACGGTTCAACACACAAACCCCAAAAAAGAAGACTCCTAAACATTTACCGGCAATATCTCAAAGAAAAATACAATTTGGGCACAAGTTCAACCAGAATTCTTAGAAGAGATGAAGGAAGTTAAACAAACAAACAAACAAACAAAAAGCTAAAAAATTCTTTTAAAAAAACAAATAAGAGAACTAAAGGAAAGAATGGGGAAAAAAGGAGAGCTATGGAAGAAAAATTTGGAAAGAGAAGTTATATCTTGGAATAAGAGGTACAAAACCTTATTTAAGAAACAAAAAATACTCCCTGAAAAATTAAAACAGACCAAATAGAAGCCAGTAAGTATGAAACAATTAAGAAATGCTTAGAGAAAGTCAAAAGACTGGGGGAAGAAAAAGAAAATTCAAGTTATCTCATGGTAAAGACAAATGACCTAGAAAACAGATCAAGGAAAGATATTTTAAGAATCACTTTGCTACTGTAAAGCCATTACCAAAAAAACACAAAACAGGACGACAACAACAACAACACAAAAACTTTATGGAATCCTACCATCCCTGGTAGAAACAGTCCTTTCTTTTCTCTCTTTTACCACCAAACTTCTAGAAAAAGCCATCTATGCTCATTGTCTCCACTTATTCTCATCCATTTTTTCAAACTTTTTCAATCTGGCTTCTAATCTCATCACTCAACTGAAACTGCCCTCTCAAAAGTTCCGTGATCTCGTCAAATCCAACCTTTTATTAATCCATATCCCTACCGACCTCTCTGCAACATTTGACACTTTCACCAGTTTTAATTGTACCTTTTGGCCTAATTAAGTTGACGATCAATGACTGAGTACTAATTCTAAAGTGAATTCCACATCAATGGTAAATAAATAACTGGAGGCAAAGTTTGTCCAAGCAATAGAAAAACAAAGAAAAAAGTAGACTGTTTATCTTACCATTATTAAAAGTCCACCATTTTGTTCAACTTCTGCAGTTTCCATCAGAAGCTCAATTGCTTTTTTGTTTCCAATTATTCTTACTACTCGGGCTATCAGATCTTTCTTTGGTTCCTGAAGCCTACAAAAGGAGCACATAAAGTAATATTAACCTTACTGTTTGTTTTATAGTGGTTGAAAAATAATTCTCCTGTACGTGAATGCACAGAAAATTATCTTGCATATATTATCTTGTTTTAAATTATTTTTTTCAATTATCAAGCATTTTTTTCTCCCTCCCACAACACCCCCTTAGCACTGTAGAAAGAAAGAAAAAAATAACTTGTAACAAATATGTAGAGTCAAACAAAACAAATTCTTATATTGACCATGTCCAACAATGTGTATTTCATTCTGCTAATTTTAGTCTATCTCCCATGTCAGGATGTGGGTAGCATTCTTCATCAGAAGTTTTCTAGAATAATTTTGTATATTTTCCTTCCTTTTTTTTTAATATAATTTATTTATTTTTAGTTTTCAACATTCACTTCCACAAGATTTTGAGTTTTAAATTTTCTCTTCCTCCCCAAGATGGCATATAATATGATATAGGCTCTACTTGTATATTCATATTAAGCATATTTTCACATTAGTCATGATGTATAGAAGAATTAGAACTAATGGGAGGAACCACCAGAAAGAAGAAATAAAACAAAACAACAAAGGAAAAGGAGAGCAAATAGTATGCTTCCATCTGCATTCAGACTCCATGGTTCTTTTTCTGGAGGCGAATAGCATTTTCTATCCCGAGTCTTTTGGAGCTGTCTTAGATTTTTGCATTGCTAAGACCCAAGTCTATCAAAGTCAGTCATGGAACAATGTGGCTGTTACTGTGTACAATGTTCTCCTGGTTCTGCTCACTTCACTCAACATCAGTCCATACAAGTCTTTCCAGGTTTTTCTGAAGTCCTCCAGCTCATCATTTCTTATAGCACAGTAGTATTCCATTACATTCACATACTATTACTTGTTCAGCCATTCCCCAATTGATGAGCATCCCCTCAATTTCCAATTCTTTGTCACCACAGAAAGAACTGCTATAAATATTTTTGTACATGTGGATCCTTTTCCCATTTTTATGATCTCTTTGGGATACAGCCCTAGGCTTGGTATTGCTGGGTCAAAGGGTGCATATTTTTTTAAAAGTATTTAAAAATAAGCACGAACATTAACTTTTTAAGCCACATATGCAAAGAAATGGAAATATTTCTAAAATCTCAAACAATAACATAACCTCTTGGGGCAACTGTAAAATGAAGTTATATCACACAATCTTTAGCTCTAAAATTTTATGATTCTATCTCTACTACCAATTTCTCCCCCATATTCTAATTTTTTTAAACTGGTACTACCACTGAAAACTGACAAATGAAGGGGTGGAGAACCTATGGCCTAGAGGCCACAGGTTCCTCACCCCTGCAGAGCAATCATACTCCTAACATTTTTTTTCTTACTCTCCATCAAATTTAGAATTATGACAAATGAAAAGTTTGAGAGACATAGTTTCTGGGTAATTAATGATCAATTTATTAATTATGGCTAGCAAATAATCAATAAAATTAGGTCAATGGCCCTCCTGGAAGTCAAAGACAAACCTTGGAGGCCCGGAATGCTTAAATACCTTTGGAGAAGGGGTTGTCTTTGACAGGTAGCAATCGACTCTGACTGGTTAACAAGGAGAAAAGGAATATTGTCATTATAATTTCCTAGGCTTATTTTAATGAGGAACTGGGGACACTAGGAAAGCCTTCTTGCTGAAGATGGCATTTAAGCTGTCATGAAGGAAGCCAAGAAAACTAGGAGGAAGAGGTGAGGAAAGGGAGCATTCCAGAAATAGTGGTTAAGTAGAAAGGCCCAGAGAGACAGTGTAATGAGTGAGGAACAGCACGTAGACTGATATAGCAAGTACATGGGAAGAAGTATAAGATGACAGAGAAAATAGAGAGGGAATAGGTTGTGAAGACGTTTATTAGGCAGACTGGATTTGAAGATGACTCTAGAGCTAACAGGAAATCACTGTAGTTTAATGAGTAGGAAGGTGATATGCACAAACCCATTTTGGCAGTCGAGCAGAGCTGAAAGAGGGAGAGCACTTAGAAAGCTATTGAAATAGTTCAGGCAAAAGGTAATAAGGGCAGTAGCTGTGAGAGTAGTGCATGTACACTAGAGATGTGGTAGAGGTAGAAATGACAAGATATAGCAACAGAATGACTCTGAAATGTGAGGAGTTAAGAATGACACTGAAGTTTCTTAGCTGAGTGAACAGGGTGATGGTACCATCAATAGTAATAAGGAAATTAGGAAGAAGGGAGTTTGGGAGAAAAATTCCATTTTGGATATGTTAAATTTGATATCCAGGTCAAGATGTCCAAGAGGGCACCTGGTTATATGAGACTGGCACTCAAGAGAGACTAGGGAGAATGAGCTCGAGTGAGTGAGTGAGCGAATGGGTGGGTACATGTGTGCACGTGTGGGTGTAGAAACATCTACAAAGAGATGATAGTCGAATGAAAGGGAGTGATGAGATGAGCAAAAAAGATAGTATTGAGGGAAAAGAGAAGAGGCCTCAGGATACAAAAGAGATAGAAAACTTAAATCTAATTATTTTTATAACCTTTTGTTGTATATTGATAAGCAAATACATGATCAAACTTACTGAATTCAAAGTCTGACAAATTGTTCCACAGGATCCTGTTCAAATTTATGTACATCCATTAAAGTTCCTGCCATGTCTTCCCTTAACATCAAGTTTAAAAAATAATAACACATAATCATGTTCCTATAGAGACATATAATTACAGTTTACTTATTTAATGCAAAATCATTTAAAATCTTAAACCAAAATGGTAACTATATACACACTCGGGCAGCTAGGTGGTTCAGTGATACAATGTCTGCCTTGGAGTCAGGAAGACTAGAGTTCAAATTGAGTCTCGCACATTTACTAGTTGTGGGACCCTGGGCAAGTCACTTAACCTTGTGTGCCTCTATCTCCTCATCTGTAAAATAAGGTGGAGAAGGAAATGGCAAACCACTCCAGTATCTTTGCCAAGAAAATCCCAAATAGGGTCATGAAGAGTTGGATAAGACTGAACAACTATATGTACACTTATATTAGGGACATTTTGCTAGGGATGAGACAACTGATCAGATTAATGTGAAGGACATGATAGCTAGTTAAGGACTTACCTGAAAGAAATTTCATCTGCTACTTTTTCTTCAGGATCCTCTTCTGTAATTTCATATCGACCTTTATAGTTCATTTCTATTCTGTTTCCTAGTCTGTCTTTGATAGGTCGTTTCCGTTTCATATGACCTTGTCCATTTTCTTCTTCTTTAGGACCGGCTTTTTTATCATCATGCATATATTCATCTAACTCTTTATCTAGTTTTTCAGTTTTCGATTCCCTCATTATCTTCTTAGCCAGCAAATAATTGTAAGTCTCTGACTGTCTGCTTTTGTCAATGTTGCCCTCCATTCCCAGTATACCAAGTTCATTAGCCACTGCATCTTGACTCTGTTCCTGTAGCACTGCACCCCATATGTTGTTAATCTTCCTCCCTCCCAGAATATGCTGTTTCTGATTGTTCTGTACAAATTGAAAAGGCTCTGGTTTGGGAAGAGGATTAAAACATTTCTGTCTCTTTCGTTTCCAAAGACAGCTGTCATCGTCTGAATCAGAAAAGCTTTCCTCACTTGATTCTACACCCTTAATAGTTCGATAATGTGATACTGGAGAGACTGCAATGCTGCTCTGGAAAGGCCTGAAAGATATATTGCCATCTGGTACTTTCTGTAAATGAATAAAACACAATTAACTTCATAAAAGGTTAACCCCACCCCAATCGTACCACATTAGCATTACCATTTTTTAAAAGAAAATAATCTCACAGCTATATTAAACCTGGTCCACTCTAAAACCGGATGAGACTTCAAAGGAAGTCCGGTGGCCAAACTAGTTTCTAGTTTTCAGAAATTTCATATGGGATTTGACAATTTAAAAAATATAAAACACTACTGCCTGGGCAATATGTCTCATTAATAACATTTCCTCCTTAACAAAAACCACAGAACTATAATCTGGGCTTGTTGGCTCTAATGTGAATTCTTGCAATAGATTTTTTAAAATTGCTGCTAGCATATTTGAAAATGAAAGGCTAAATAACAGCCATTTAAACTAACCTTTCTCTTGGAGAGTCTTCTCTTTTGTGTTTAAAACAGTTCCCTTTAGGCTAGTCCGTGGTTGTTTCCGTATTAGATGAAAAATGCCTGTGGGGCAGTGATCCTGACTATTCTACATTTAATACCATGACATCCAAGAGAGGGCACGAGCTTAAAATAATCACTGATTAAGCTTGTCTGACCATCATGTGTAGCCTTAAAAAAATACCCCACACTAAAACTTTACTAATCCACGTCAGTAAAATACCTGATAAAAGGCATTAACTGGATTTTGTTGTTTAACACAAATTATTTAATAAGCAACAGTAAGTATACAGAATTTCTTCACTCATGTCATTTGTCTGAGCTGCAGAAGCACATCCCTCTCCACACTCCCAAGAACCTTCTAACGTTTAGTTCAGGAATTAAGACATCAAATAGCACAAATTAAGGGCTAAAATGTGTGGTGCAGAAAAATCCTGTCGATATGCTCCTTGGAGCCTGTAAGGCTCGGGAGGGCATCTGTGACTTCGACACTGGAGCAACTCCCAGAAGAGGAGAGTCACTCCATCATTGCAGCGTGGCATCTATTCAGCAGACCGGAGTCTAGCAGAGCTGCCCCGCAGTACTGAGGGTTAAGGGAACTCCCACAGCCAGGACGCTGGGGCGCGCGGTAGCATCTCCCGGACTTCAAGGCCGCCCGCACCACGCCGCTTGTCCCCAGAACGCGAGGAACAAACGCTCGCTGATCTACTGGAGCGCGGGGTCCGCAGGGCCCGGTTCTCCCCGCGCCGGCCGGGAGCGGGGCAGGGGTGACAGGGTGACGCGACCCTCTCCCCGCCCTCCCCCGCCACGGGGGCTGCAGGGGCTGCTCGCTATTCCTTACCGTGTCCGTCATGTCAGAATCCGACTCGGAGAGCTCGCCGTCTTCCATGCCCCGAACGTCGAGCGCCATTTTCCCCTCTGAGGAGAAACCGTACCGGAGGCCACTTCCGGCAGCACGGCAGGAAGTAGTTCCGCCAAGTCCAGTTCCTTTTCCTCCTCTCCCGCTGCGGCTAGTGCGGAGAGAAGGACCAGGTTCGCGCCCGTTCTTCGCTCCTCCCCCGCCCCTACCCCCCTGCAGACGACACCACCCCCCGCTCCTGCAGGTCACGCTCCCTACAGGCCCTGCCACTCCCCGCCCCCTGCAGGCCACCCCACTCCCCGCCCC